ATCTTCCGGGGCCTCAGTGAGAACAGGTGGCGTCACCGTTGGTCCAAAGTGTTGATCTTTGACCCATTCAATCAACAAAGTGGGACAGCTGGCTCTTTGGTAGTGCAAACGAAGGGCAGCTTCGGTCGTGTAGGTGGTATGACAGTGTGCACATGCCAAACGTCCCGGTGTCATGTCACGACTTGGGCGGAAGACAAAGAACGGTGGCTTCACAACCTGATGCTCCTTGGACAGGTGACCGGCTAAGGCCTTTCGGCCAATCATTTCCAAGCACAATGGGCATTTAAACGACTTGGACGGGGTCACAATGACCTGACTGGGCTTGGCCAAGATAGCCGGAACTGTGTCAAGTTTTGGGATCTTGGCGGCACGAACTAGGTTGCCATCGGCCTGAACTTCATGTCCATGAGTTGACATGTGTCTCTCAAGGCCTGTGGCCGTCAGGAAGCTTGTATGACAGTGAGGACATGCATGCAGTGGTGATGGAGAATCATGTGACTCCTCAACCGCAATGGCACGATGGACAGGCGGATCAGGCCTGGCCGGCATTGTCGACGATGCTGCATTCGAACCTGGCTGAGCCGGTGTCGGTGGTGGAATAGAGATGGAGCTAGGTTCGGTAGTTCCAGTCCTGGAAGCTTTTTGCATGACAGGCATGATGGGGAAGTGTTCAGGTTGAAAGGTGTGTCCCATCATGATCGAGATCTGAAAGAGGACCCCACATTCATGCGTTCTGGTGTCGCGGCATTCACTGTCACAAAAGCTGCATCTGCCACGGCCTCCTCCTATGTTGGCCATGCCTTGAACATGATCACGAAAGTGGTCGGCAAGATGAACCAGGTCCGGGTGGTATTCCGTGAAATGCTTACGAATCGATCTAGCAGCAATCCGCATGTGACAAAAAGTGCAGTGATTGGCAATCTCATTGATCAATGCTGAGTTCAATAACAGACCTGGGACTGACTTGTGTCGCAAATGCATTTTGAGATCTGGTCGGTTGATGATCGGCACGATCGACTCCTGCGCAGGATCAAAACGAGGACACGTATGCTTATTTATATGGTCTCGAAGTCTGTAAAAATCAACGAAGACGTGGGAACAGTGCGTACATATCGAACGTCCTTGCCAGGCATCTCGTAAAGGCTGAAACACGTCGTCAGGCTCGCAAGGGACCTGGTGCACCTGCCTCATGTGACGTTTCAGCGTTCCGGCCTGCGCGAAGGTTCGATGGCATTCAGGACAGACCACTGCCTGAGTGCGTTCCATGTGGGAGGGATGATCCGGGGGATTGACCAAAGGTTCAAACCAGAGATCTGGGACGAACACGCACACGTCCGGCATCTCGGTGTCCATGGCTTCAAGACGGAATTTGGCCCGTTTAGCCGACAGGGCGTCTTGGATCCGCCTTCGTTGTGTGAGGATAGTTGTCCATGGTGGTGGTTCACGAAGGCGTTCGAAGAAATGTGTCGTGGATTCATGAGTGAGACACACTGGTGAGTGGGCTATGGACCTGTGATGTGTGTTGATCATGCTGATGACCTGTCTGAATCCCTGCTGAGTCAATCCCATTTCATGAATGCCATATTGAACCGTGGCAAGAACACATTGCTTGTATAGTTTGAGTCTAGTTCGAATGGGGTGAACATCACTCACAAGCCAGGACCTGAGATTGCGGAAGCACCATTTGGCTGCTGTGATCCTACGTGCGGTCGTGTCAGCATCCCATGCTCTATAACCTATGACGACTCCAAGGTACGCTGTTTTCGACACAAGCGGTAGCTGCCATCTTCGTTCGGGCAGCGTCAGGACAGGGCCAGTGGATGGTCTACTAACCCAGGTGCGAAGAAAGGCAGGAGCCTCTTTCCCTTGGAGTCGAAGCATAACAACCGACTTGTGAAGATTGACATTGAAGCCAAAGACTTGAAGAGTCATTAATACATGTTGAAGATCAGTGAGAGCTTCAAGGGCTTGGGCTGTGGATCGAATTATCCACCGGAGGTGGATGTCATCTGCGTAAACGACCATGTGCTCATGCAGCCATTGATGGGAATATTTGTTTTGGAGATCAACAAGTACAAGGCTCATGGTGAGGGTCCAGAGCAGAGGGGCGTCTTTGGCCCCCTGTTTAATTCCCCTATGTGCATGTATTTGACCGATCAACTGCTTGAAGGGAATACAATACTTGTGGGGGGTGAGCCATGTGTGCACAAGTTGAAAAAGGTCTGGATCCAAGCGGTACAGCTGCAAGGCACGAAGCACCAGGGTGCGGCTGACTGTATCAAATGCCTTTTCCATATCTAAGGAGACTTGGAGTCCTCCAAGCAGCCGTGGCTGAGGTCCAGTTTTGACAGCCCTACACATCATGCGTACAGTTCTGCAATGTTCGGCCACTATGAGTAGACATTCACGTGTCCCTCGGTGAGGTAAATACGCATAGAGGGGAAGTCGTCTAAGTCGGTCGAACGTCTGCAGAATGATCTGTCTGCATTGAATTCCTGCGAGAATCTTGTTGACTGGGTGTTGCAAACAGATGGGTCTGAGGGCTTGGGGTTTGCTTGGGGATTTATTCGGTTTAGTCAGGAGATGGATCCATCCTGTTGTCCAATGATCCGGAAGGTTTACGGGGTATTGAAGCCAAACCTGCGTAATCTGATGCATTAAAGGATCAACAAGATCATGCGCAAAATGCTTCCAGATCAGTGCTGGCAATCCATTCGGTGCCAGGGCTTTAGTGCTTGGCAGGTGCAAAAGCTCAGTGAGCACATCCTGGCGGTTGAAGGGGAGACGGGTGAGAGGTTCGAGATCTCGGGCTTCAAACTTCGGATCAGCAAACAGTTGGGTATAGTAGTGTTCTATGGATTCCAATTCCTGTCTCGGTGCAAGAGGCATGCCATGGTTATCAAAGATCTGAATTCTTTTCGGTCTTTGTTTCGGACACAGGAGCCTGATCTTCCGGTACCAGGCAAAGATGCGTCCATCAAGGGCAAGATCAGCACCCTCAGTGAGAATTTGTTGTAATTTGTCTCTCTTGTTTTGCCTGCTCTGTTTACGTATGGCTTTATGGATGGTTCGAAAGGTGGTGATATGAGCCCAACACTCAAAGAGATCGCGAATGCTGCGACCACGAACGGCCAGAGCCTGCTTGCGGGCAGTCCACATCCTGGCGGCCATCGAGGAAATCTGGGGTGCTTGAGGGACCCGGGATTTTCTTTTGGGAAAGAAACTAGAACAAATCGTTCGAAGTTCTTGTTCCAAAGCGTGCATGGATACCTGATGCGATGGATGAGGTGTAGAGTGTCGAGCGATGCTCTGACGAATCTGGACCTCAAACTGCTGCCAGTGTGCAGTGTTTTCGAGTCTAGCCGTACGGATAGCAAATCTGTCAATGGTGTTGAGTGGGAGCACTGGTTTCCGAGGCGCAAACCACCTGGGCAGGATAAAGAACAGTGGATGATGATGAGGGCCATGACATCCAAAATTGCGCATAAAGTTCCTATCCATGGTGGGCTGCATGCGACGAAGTTGGACCTGATGTTGACGAACAAAAACATAATCAATGCGAGAATGATGGGATCCATGTTCAAAGGTCGATGCATACTGCTGTTTACAATGCAATGCAAATTAGGTCCTGTGCTTTCCCCAACTGCGGAAGAAGATCTCCATCGGTGTGAGTGGTCAAGGACGCACGGGCATCATGGCTATTAATGTGTAGCGGGTCGAACTGGAGGGTGGTATTAAAATCACCCATAAGGACCATTTGATTCTGCTGCGGAATATGATTCAAAATCTGCTGCAGGCTAGTCCAAATCTTGGCACGATGTTCAAGAAGCTGTTCCTTGCCTTTGGTTACATTCCAGGCATGCTAATATACTACGATGAAGTCATATATACTGTCCAAAAATAGGCGGATCTGAAGAGGTCGACCATCAAAATGAGAGGTCGAGGCAATCTGTTCAGGTCTGGCCAGGGTACCCCTAATGAGCACAAGTATAGCAGCGTGCTTCGTCGAGGAGTAGATGTAATGCCATCCCTATAACGTCCAAGTGGAGTTAAAATTCCATCCAATTTCCTACAAGGCGATGATGTCCAGGGGCTGGGATGTACATCAGTGCAGAAGCTCGTCATGGACCAAGTTCTTCGATGCATTCCAGGTTATGTATCTTATGCCAGGTGTGATCTGTAGGATCCGTGACTTCAGCTTGTCTTGTGGGTGCCGTCTATAGGCTTCTCGAATGGGCCTGGGTACATCGGTGTCAAAAAGAAAGCCTTTTCGATAAGGCGTGTAGCCATGTTACAGTGCTCGGAAACAGGCTCTCTTAAAGCTCCTTTTAATCTAAACGATGCACGGCCGGGAAACGACAAGGCCGTAGCCTCCTTTGGCCCATACCTCAAAAGGCTTCGTGGAGAAGCTCTAGTTGCGAGTGAAGGATCCACCTCCACTTTCATCCGGAATTAAGGAGTCCCGGACAACCCTCACGTCATCCATAGTTCCGCTCGGTACAAAAAACGGTGCATTGGCATCCATGGGCCCTAGACTTAGGACCAAGGAAATCAGCCTCTGTCCTAACAGAAAAATGTGTAGCCAAATAAAAACAATCATCAATAGTGTGACGGTCGAGAGATCCAATGCATTAGGCAAAGAAAATGGCGAGAAGATCTACAAAGAAATGGCTGCCGTAACTTAAGGCTAAAATAGCGCTTATTTCCAATATAAATAAACCAAAAATATCTTCCTACCCATAACTTCAACAACAAAAAAAAATCAAATCATTTAGGTGCTTCAAACAATGGGAGAAATATATATATATATAAATCTATTTTTAAAAATCAATAAATATATAGTATTTTTAAACAAAAAGATTAATATATCGATTCCTTAATATCTTTATTTAATGAACAAAATACTATAAATTATGTATTTTTAAAAGATAAACATCAATCATTTTATCCACATATTTCATTGTTCGTTATATATCCTCTCTTCACACACACCAGCTGTTGCCAAGACGCAGTCCAAGCGTTCACCTGTTCCTTAGAATGTTTGCCTGTTCTTAAGAAACACACTTGAAGGGTGTAGTGTGATCAGGTAGGCGGATTTAAAGGCAAGACATCCAAATACATGCAAACTTATACCCGAGTTCCAACCTACTCACAATAGCGCGCCCCAAATTTCCACTACATACCGTCTCCTTCTCTACGATCACCTTCTCCCAGCTTTCGAATCCAATGAAAGCTTGACATGAGGGGTTATTCGGCTATTTGGTAGATTCTATTCCAGCAAATTCTAAGTTATATATTAATATACGAAAATGTCCTTTTGATTCTTGCCAACTATTGGGCGAAAGCAGCAAATTAAAAGTATATATATATATATATATATGGATCCAACTGAAATTCAACCGAAAACAATTGGGTGTCGTAGTCAAACTGTTTGTTGCTGCCGCAGGACTATGATCAATGATCTCTACCTCGTATGATCGACCTTCAGAATAACTTCGGGCCGCCTTAAAACTATTGGGCCTTGGTGATTGCATAACTACCGCGTTTGCGACATTCCAAAGCATACCGCCCCACTTAGTTACTACTTAACGATCTTGGATGGGGAGTTAAAGAAGCAATGCTGGTTTCTTCCAAACATGATTGAAACTGCGGACCGCGGCCGCTTCTGGATGGAGGCTCGCCACATCGGAGGACTTGTGCACCAAACAGCCTCTGCCGTCAGGCAATCCGGCAAATCCACATTCACATGGCTGAACGGCCTCGAGCAAAGCAGGGCTCAAATCTGAAATTTGACTACATCTAAACGACAAGGGTATCAGAGATCTTGGCTTCTGACCACAGCATCTCTGATGGATACATCATTTGCCACTAGAAGGAAGGCGATGAAAACAGCCAACAACTTCTGGTGAGCCTCAGGCAGGGATTTTACAGGCGCGCACGTCGGTACAAGCACCAGCAGCACTTGCTTCAAGGGGGAACTTGATTTTTGGCATTGGTTTCAAGTCCTTTCATCATTCAAGTCCGGCGTATTTCTTGGGCTCCTCTGGCAATGGAATGCCGCCCACGGGCATGAACGTTGGACCATTTGGCACTGTAAAGCATCTTTGCGCAATGCAGTCGCAAATGGTGCGGTGGGGTCTTGGGGTTAGAACAAGTATATGACTCTTGGCGCAAGAGCACCAGAGTCAACACTCAGTGCTTGGTATGGACTTATCTCATAGCACAATTAAAGGTATGTTTTTCTTTTGGCAAAAATCAATTCTCCAACGCTCAAACAAGAAGTGTACTTTTCCCAACCATGTGATACACCCAACCATGACACACCCACTACAGCCTCGCATAACCGCAAACATCCTGCGTTCAGGATCAAGGAGAATTTGATTAAATTTGGGAAATCAAAGTTGATCTAGAGCTCACTTCACAATGTAGCAGTCCATCTTCATCGCCAATTTTGGGTCTATCTTTTGAGCAGCCTCGAAGACTTTCGCGTGGACTGTTGGCTTTTCATGAAAGTGCCGAGAGAACGTGATTCCAGGCAGATCTGGCGCCATGCGAGCTAAAACGATCTCTTGGAGACGCTTGACAGATTCCAACTCCTGTGTAACCTCTGTGGTGACCAGAACCTTCAAGGGCAACATCTCCTCAAAAACCGAATGGTCAATCGAGTGGATGACCGTACTCAGAAAGTATGCTTCGGCATCCACGTTGCATGGGAATTGATCCGAGTGCTTGAGAGCTCGGAAGAAGCTGGGCCGCAGGCAGTGATGAAGTCGACCATGTAAGAATAACTACGAAGCCGCACCACGCGTCCATGTGGAGGAGGTAAATGATCTTGCGTCTTGCAAAAGACCTCACAGACATTGTGACCAATCTTCTGGCTCGATAATTTCGCCGAAATCTTGGCCGTCAAGTTGATGCCAAAATGGTTGTGGATGGTGGAGACCACGCTCATCTTTTGCAAATACTTTCCGGATATGGTGGGGCTTGCAACAGAAGGGGCGCCACCCCTGTCAGAATGTGACGTAAAACAGCCAACAGGCCGCTGGGGCTGAGAGACCTTCTATTGTGGAGCACTTTGCAAGCCATTGGTTTGTTGTGCAAGGACGCCGAAGCGAGAACACATCTCCGAACCAAATTAGAATGTGTGGAAAATGGACATGAGCTAAGTAACTCCCATCTTCCTCCAATGTACTCTCCCATTCTCCACTTCCATGTTAGTTCTAGGGAGTGGAATTTGCCCAAAGTAGATGGACAAGGAAGTATTCAACAGAACTTGAGCACAAATGCCACTCAAGTCCTGGTCTGTCGGATGGCTCGTCAGTTTGAAGGAGCAGCTCACAACATCTTCCACCAAGTGAGTTTGCACAAAATCCCCACATCAGCATAGTAGTTGCTGGCATCAAGACCCAAAGTGCTTGCCCACATATACTGGCTGAAGGTCAAGTGGATGTGGTTCATGTCAAGTACGGCTGACCCCTTGCAGTGCTTCCTGCCAACTTTGCCAAGGGTGGGCCGCGGTGAGCTGGATGATTCCAGGTGGTCTCAAGGCGAGGAGCGAACTCCTCGGTCCAAAAGTGAAAAGACCATATCACCCAAGCGGCTCCGATGCCTGACACCAAGAAGACAAGCATCCTGTGCAGGGAGCGCAGCAAGAACTGGGCAAGGACAAGCATGATGCAAGCCCTGATCCCTGCCCTGATTGTCCTCTGCGTCTGCATACTGCCAAAATGCAACTGGAACTTCCGACGACTTGGGCCAGGCTTCAGCGAGCTTCGCATTGTAACCAGGACATCTAGAAAAAGACATCTAGGACATCTCTCACATCCACAATCATTCAAAGTATCCAAACTATACTTGCTGAGTGTTCGAGGGCAGGACGCCGCAAGCATCAACGGGCAATCCCTGCAAGCTGCAATTGTTGCTGTTTCGTGGCTTGATATGATTTGTACGCTTTTGTTCGGCCATTAACCTGATCCTGGCTTTTAAAAAAGATACTAAACCATGAAGGTTGTTGCAATCCTTGCAGCCAGATCCAAGCTTAGCGGAGTCAAGCCATCCCACTGAGAGTGTAGATCTAATTTGGTAGCAATTGGTGGTGTCTACGATTACTTTACTGCACCTGTATCTCAAGGCAGCCGGAAGAAAACACGAAGTGCGATGAGCCCTTCCAGAGCGCAGTCATCAGCGATGCCCTTTGTTCCTACTAGCTTCTTGTTCCTAGTAGTACGGCCAGGAGTCCCTAGTAGCGTCCTTGCTCCTAGTAGCTTCTTGTTCCTAGTAGTATGGCCAGGAGCCCCTAGTAGCGTCCTTGCTCCTAGTAGTGATGCCCTTTGCTCCTAGTAGCTTCTAGAAAGATTAATCTTTCTTTTGTATTTTCTTTGTTTTCGAGTGCAAACAACTGCAATGGCATCTTTGAAGGTTTACGTAGGCAGTGTTCAAAACCAGAAAGATAGATGTACTGATGTACGGTATATTTGGAGAGAAAACACTATTGTAACCGCTGGAATTTTAATCTGTGCTCGAGTGGCCCATAGCCAAAAGAATGTCTACCGAGTCTACCTGTAAGTCACACAACTCCAAATGTGCAAGGACACTTCGTGCCAGAGTAAACTGAGCACAGGCGCCCTTTCAAAGCTTTCGGCTCTGATACGAAGCCCATGGCCTTGGAACCAATTTTGTAAGAGTTGCATTCACTTTGTATTCCAGTATTCCCGATACAATCTAACTTTTTGCATTCTTCTTGAAGCTTGAACAAGTGAATCCCTAAAAGTACTCTCTCCCGAGCTCCCAGGCTCGCAAGCGGTCTGCATTGCCCACTTATTGGGCGGAACCTCTGTGGAAGCAGCTTGACGCTAGTACAACTTGAGACTTTCCATCAATATAAAGAAATATAATACAATATTTGTCGTACTTAGTTTTCTCAATTGGCTGCCCTCGTGTTGTTGGGCATCGACTTGCAGGGCAGCCATGGGCATCCACGCGACTTGCTCCTTCGACTCGAGCTGTAGCCTGTCATGGGCCGTTGCCGTTGGTGTGAACAGCTCGACGACCCGAAACGACCCGACGACCGACGACCCCGACGTGCCTTCCGTTGTTCCTCTCTGGACGTCTCAAAGAAGGCAGCTCTGGACTTTTCGACCTCGAAACATGGGAAGCAATACGGATGACCTAGTGGAGACAAAGACACCCAAGGGATCTGTCATCTGCTGCTCTCTTGGCCTCCGACCTGCTTTCCGACCTGCTTCGACAGCTTTTCAAGGGACTGGCGCAAGCGCAAGCATCATGCCATCATGCATGGAGAATGTCCTCTTGTCTTGAGAACATGAAGAACCGTAAACCTTCTGTGAAATTGGTTGACCACGACGTGGAGGACAGCCCATCTTCTATTTTACGGTTTCTCAGGAGTAGAACTACCCCCAAGATGCCACGCGCCTTCAAGTGCTCCTCCTCCTCCAAAGCTTCTTGCATCACCTCCCCAGAGGAGAAACAGCGTCCTTGCTACTAGTAGCGATGCCAGGAGCCCCTAGGAGCGTCCTTGCTCCTAGTAGTAAGGCCAGGAGCCCCTAGTAGCTTCTTGTTACTAGTAGCTGGAGTGGCCTGAAGACTCCTCCAGCAATTCACGCCCCGTTTGAGCTGCCACAAGTGCAGCCTGATCTTGCCGAGCACTTTTCGCACGCTCCGCTGCCATGTCAGCGGCTTCCGCTTCCTGCTGCTCTTCTCCTCAGCTTTCAATTCTTGTGTAAAGATGTAGGAACCAAATGTGCGAGAGCTTCTTCAAGGAAGCTCACCACTGCCCCCAGGCCGGGGGGAGCTTCCTTGAAGAAGCATCAGTACCGAGCAGCTACCAATTAGCTACCTCTTCTCCTCTATCCGCGGCCTACCCCCCCCTAGCGGGCATTAAGACATGTACAAGAAACATGTGGAGTTTGACAGTCCCAACTGTCGAGCCAGAAGTTCAACCTTCCAGATCCTTCCAGCACCAGCTAGTTATCTTTCAATTTCCACTTTGAGTCTTTGAGGATGATTCCAGCCTCGCAACTGGCCACCAGAATTGACATGTACTGATAAAATTTAGCATATCTAGCAAAGGCCGTTGCAGACTTTTGCCCTGAAGCCCTCTAAATGTGACACGTTTCAAAAGCTACCAGTAACAAAGGGCATCGATACTAGTAGCAAGAATGCTACCAATACTCCTGGCATTACTACTAGTAACACAACGCTACTAAGTGGAGGCCATCGCTATTAGGTTATATTCATTCAACTTTAGGCGCAGTCAAACAAAAGTCGACCAACCATTCACCTCCTTTCATCCCGCACACAGCCCACTCTTGAGTGTGGAACTTTTGCGCTTCCTCTTTCTCTGCTCCTTCTTGGAATTAATTGAAATGATCAATTGGAAGATATTGGAAGAGTCATCAGCGTTCGAGATAACATGAGATAACCAACCGCAGCAAAGGCAGCCACCAAAGTTGCAAGAACAGGCGATAGAATCAAAAAAGCTGCTCCTTCTCTCTCATGACACCGTCGTCGGAGTCCTGACGAACAGCGATGAAGCCTTCCTGAAACCTCCCTCCCAAGCTGCCAAGCAAGAGTATTGTCTTGGATTTCAGCCCGTTTGAATGAGTAGGCCTTTGGCAGCCTTCTTCCCCATTGGCATACTTTGGCTGCTTTGCCCAATCCTATTTTTCCACATTTTTGCAACTGCTTGCTTGTTTTGGCTCGAACTGCTCAAACCGCCACAGCATCAACGACAAAATACTTTGGCACATGACGCGGCTTTGACATGAAAGGGATCGTTCTTGTGGGATTGGACATACATAGTGAACATTGTTTCAACAAAACTTACATGAACACACATATGTTGATGAACTAGAACATCGTCAACGATGCCAGGCCAAGGGTCTACCTTCTGTACCACGTTACTATATTCGTGGTGTAGGGAGTGGAGGAGCCCAGGACGTGCACGAGCCCTAGGGCATCCGGCCTCGGGCATGGCATTCAAGGTTTCCCACACATGCCGAAAGACCTCCAAAGGATGGACGGGACGAGACAGGTTGTGCAAAACACTTCCAGAAGTTTCTAATAGCTTCTTGTTACTCCTAGTAAGCCACTTGTTACTAGTAGCGATGCACTTGTTCCAGTAGCTTCTTGTTCCTATACAATGTTAACATAGAATGACAAACATTGAACCGTTGCACACACACACGCACACATACATTTATCATTCGTGACCAACACGAGCATGCCTCTGGTACCATTTTGGCCGACATGAAATTCGCCCAGCTCACGACGGCAAGACATTGTACGGGTTGTGTCAGTGACAAATAGCCAAACTGCTCCTGCTTGCACTCCGACTCCTGCTGAGCTAATCTACTTTCCGGGTTCTGATTCCAGAAACCCTAAAGTACTAATATACCCTTGAATTTCCTATGTATACAAATGGCTGGCCATGGAAATATCTCGAAATTGTTCTGAAATATTAAGACAGCTTCTGCAGCGTGTGAGGTTTGATTCTCACAGAATCACGTCCGCACGTGATTGTGTGCGTCCTGCGCTAGTCATGTTGGACAGTTTCGTTAGGCATATGGGCACTTTCGCAAACCGATCCTGTCCGCGATTTCTAATTGGCTTCCAAGAAAGGAACGCCGGTCTTTTTGTTTGGCTAGGCCCATGCACTGTACCCACTCATGTCATGCAATTTTTGTCTCAGGAGATTCTCTGGTCTGAGGTCCTGTCCTTGCGAAGCACCCTGGAGTCCCTGGAGGGCTATTTTGCATATTCTTGCATTCAATGCACATGAATTCCCTTCGCCTTTGAAGGGAGATAGTGAGACGGGGTGAGACAGCAAACAGGGTGGCTTTGGCTCAAAAAATCTAGATTGGCAAGAGGGTGGCTGGGGTTCCTCTAATTCTTGAACCATAGCCACCTAAGGCGGGCATAGTTGTTGTTGGGTAGTGGATACTTAGATGTTTTTGGTCAGCTTTGAACATTTAAAATGCCATGATGGCTCCGACATGCATTGTCAAACCCCTTCATTTTGGTGCCGAGACACATTTTTGTTATTCGACGCTGTATCTGCAGCTCACTTTTGAGCCATCAGGTCAAAGGTCACCTGAGGATGTTGCAATCTTTTCATGTCAAGAACAAAATGAATATCACAGCATTCTTGTCGCAAACTACAAGTACCCTACGCCTCTGATGCTCGACTTTTGACCATTTGACATAATCGGGCCAGTTTGTTTCTGAGACTCCTTGGATGGCCGTCGGGACGTCTCAAAACGGCTCAAGACATGCAGTTCCCTCCTCGGTCTCGCTGAGCTGAGCACTCCGACGGAAGCTAGGCCTCTTTGTGCCGACAAGAAACGCAGCCTTTTCGGATTCAGTTACCTGATTGACTAATAACACGAAACTCCTAGTAACAAAGGGCATCGCTACTAGGAGCAAGGACGCTACTAGCTGCTCCTGGCATTACTACTATGTGACAAGAAGCTACTAGCAATATAAAACCACAATTGGCAGAATTCCATTCTTTATGCTCAGTTCCAATGCGCTAAAGGGAAGGTGCACATGCTTTGGGCAAGATTTGCTTGCTGCCCTAGCACTTCTGTGAAAAAGCGTGCTGTGGGGGGTTTTGCGGCTTGGCTCCTTGTCCAGCAATGTCGAACTCTTTGACATGGCAGTCTGCAAAGGCACCTGGCCGGTGCGCTGTTCCGAAAGATTTCACCAGAAGCTTGGTGTGTCCACTTTGCAAAAACTGTTTCCATCCATTCTTGGGATGGCTTCTCAGAATTGGGGGTAGCATTATGCATAGGTCTCAAAAACTGAGACAAAGACCGTCGAAAAGGGTCCGACGCCTCCAGCCCGGACTAGTGGTGTCAGGAGTTGCCGCGCTACGATCCACCAAGTCTTTCCCTGTGACCCCAAAGTGGCCCTGGACGACTCTTTTCCAATCTGACGGGCACATTAAGTCACTGGAATCCAAAGACATGCACTCACTTCAGTATCTCATGTTGTAGTGCTGTGGACTAAGTAAAGTCTGCAGGTGGCTCACATGCCATTTTCATCCATTTTCCATCGTCATGTTCCAAGTACGGTCTTCGGTCAAGTTCCGTCCGACCGAGTCCTTCCATTTGAAGTCCCGTCCCTCTTCGCCGCCTTCAAGGGCGTGGCATCCGCCACATCGGTCGAATCCCTCACGCGCTTCGCCAGCATGTGCAGGGAATGGTCCCTGGCGGTAGGGCAGTTGCTCTAAACGGTGAATCACAAAGAATGTACAATAATCCAATATATTCTTTATCATGTAATGTTCTTTTTAGTCTATTTGGAGCATGCTCCATCTTGAGGACCAGCGTATTGGCCTCAGAAAGAGATCCCCTGCTATTGTTGGCTAAATGCGAGGAAGCACGTCTTTCTCACTGACCCAAATAGGGCCACTCTCCCTTTCTTCTCGCATCGCATCATTTAGAACTTTGACTTAAGGTATGTTAAGGTAGTCAAATGACTTCACTGTGCCAAATATCAGAAATGCAGTGTCAAGTGAAAAACTCAATCGACAGTCGGATCGAACCCAAAACGGACCAACAAGGACCCGAAGGAGAAGCATCTTTGCAGTGAGTCAATTGAAGCATTTTGAAGCCATGTTCAACGATCTTTAGCAGCCCAAAAGATCTTGAAAAACCAAACTTGGACACTCGAAGAATAATCCATCCATTGGATTTCAAAAGGCGCATCGTGACACAAATGGACTAGTTTATCAATGTTTCTCCTTGAACACCAGCTTTGTCAAGGTCTGTATATCGAATCAGGCATCCATCCGGTCACCCCCGGTGCATCCAAATGCATCCAGACCCACCTTAACAAACAGTCTTCTGCTTTGCCAAAGAGTCTGATGAAGGAGGCCATGGTCTCCAACCTTGGCTTTCGACTGAGAACACGGTTGACGACGTGCCTTTTGGTAGCTTAGTTTCTTTTAGTGTTTTTTTCAAGCTTAGACATGCAACAAAAAGGTGCGTGTTCTCCAACCGGCACAGCCCATGGCATTCGTTTTGGTAGAGCTTAGACCCACAAGCTCAAGCTCCGAGTCTTGGGAGCGGATGACATTCTTGTTTAAAGATCTGCTGGATATCAATTCCGCCTGCAATGGCGTCCACCATATGCAACACAACATCGTCTGACATAAACTAGATCTATTGTTGCGTTTGAGGCTAGTTTTGAGCATCCATCACGATCCTTATCTTTCGTGCAAGTCTTGTTCCAGCGTTTCTGCCTTGAGATGCCCCACGGAATTGCTGCCATCGAGGCATCCGGCAAGAAGAGGAGCTGCTTGGGATTCGGGCTGGCCGGCATCTCGGCCTTGAGTGTGAGGGCCGATGGACAACAGGATCCAGACTTTGGAGGCCGCTTGGGAAGCTCCAAACAGTTTCCTTTCTTTTAGACACCTACAGGGGTTCTTGGGCCAAAGGTTTTTGGGCACATGAGGATTTTTCGAGTAGAGCATAGTGAAACCAAACAAAGGAAACCGAAAGAAAACACCGACACCTGCGGCTCGGGGGAGTCTCTCGGCCCAGGACGTTCGCACCGCAGGGCCAAAATGCAGCCTGGAAGCGGAGAGAAGATTGCGATGTTCCTTCTTGATGTGGGCATCGCTACCAGTAACAAAGGCATGCCCTTGTTACTAGTAGCTTCTAGCTTCTAGTGTGAGGGGAGTGCAACATCAACCTTGTGATGACATCTCTCAAATCCACGCAGAATCACCGGTTTGCGGACCTCCAAACGTCGGGAGAGAGGCTCAATGAGGTGCTTCTCGATCTCTTGAAGTGTTTGATCCAAAGTTGCTTGAAGCCTCAGTGGCAAGGAGCATGCTTCGACTTGTTGATTCCGCTGGCATGGATCCTAAAGCAGGACATCTAAGTCAGACCTGCAATAGTATATAAGCTTTATTATGCTTTATTGATCTATTCGGTCAATTCGTCAAAAAGACCTGGCACCAAAACATCAAAACATGCACCAGCAATCATTGTTGTTTTAGCTACCTTTACAGTTAATCAGTTAATCCCAACGAACTCCTTATCCCTCCATGTTGCTCTCCAAGGGCACGACTGAGGATCTGGTTCAGGTGTTGCAAGCAACTGCTTCTCAATCTGACCTTTGAACGTTGCAGTCTCCAACCACTCTCCAAGTGCTGCTATCAGTGATCGACCTGAATTCTACGATATATGATGTACACAAAGAAGACACGGAAACCAGTGCGTGACAGTCTGACAGTGCTCGCAGGGTTCACCTCCCTTCATCTGAGCCGACCGCTTCTGACCGCAACAACTCTGCTCAACGATGCATGAACCTGGAGAATCTGCTGCATGAGCATAGATACAGAAATGGACCCTGCTGATAACTCTCAAAGCCTTTGTTCTCTTCAACAACTCTGTCTAGCTGGTGATCAGCTGCGAAAACTTGCAAAGGGCATTCAATCTCCATGGCGGGCGATCCTTATATGGGCACCCCAGTCAGAAAGGAGTTGTGACTACATTAAATCAACCAAAACCTGGAGCTGCGCTGACGGCCTCGGAGGCTGCCACGGTGTGCCGCGCCACCAAGGGCTTGAGCCGTCCCGCACGCTCGGTGCGATCCCCGAACTCCGAGGGGGTGCATACGGCCTTGGACCATAGGCCGCAAGCAGGGGAAGGTGGGTGGGTCGGTGTTTTTTCTACCAAAGCAATAGGCCCAAGCGTGCTTTGCTTCCAAAATTGAAGTGCTGAACACCGTGATGAACTACGAAAGTTAGCATGTCAAACCACTTGCAGGACCACACAATGTTTGGCTGGATGATACACCGTACAGTTGCAGAGGCTTTATCTCCCAAGAATTCTAAGCACAGTGATAGAGGATCTGAGAAACCAATCTAAGTATTCCTCATGTTTTGGGACCTCCGCTCAATCTCAAACTTTCCAGGTCCATCTAGACGAGAGACCTATGAGATCCTATGATCAATCTTGATGCTTGGACTTGCAGGACTTCATTACCAAAGCGGCCAAATGTGGCTAAACAATTGTGGAATCATGGCATCTCAGAGATTGTTGACGGGAGGATTGTGTCGATTGCTTGCTCTATGCATACTTCATTATATCACCAAACTCACGCCAAGCCGCACCCATGTAAATGAAGCTTTCTCTGAATTGCAAAGTGACCTTGGCCAAGAGTCTTGGCTGTCGAGGCCTACAGATGTAATTAGGCTCTGCAACGATCTCTCATCGACTTCGGCGTGAGTACTTGTTGAACCTCACTACAAGTGAAATTGTTTCTTCACAAAGCACATTCCGCGGTCATCAT